TGAAACGACTTCTGGATTGATCAAGTCAAGGCACGACTAACTCACAGATAGAACTGTGAAACGACTTCTGGATTGATCAAGTCAAGGCACGACTAGCTCACAGATAGAACTCTGAAATTTCCTCTGGGTAGATGGTCTAAGTCAAGGCAAGGCGAACTCACAGATTGAAGTAGGATCTACCATGGTAACAAGAGAAAATAAACGGAAATAAAAGAAAAAGTGACAGAGAAAAGAATGAGAAAAAGAAAATGCTAATCAGAAGGAAAAAATTAAAATGTTAAATGTTATGAGAGGTGCCGCTGAGCACTGAGCTCCACTGATTACTACTTTATCAACATCTTTGGAACAATTATTTTGTACTTTCGAAAGAGAAACCTACGAAAGATAAGACAATAAAAGAATTTAACGAACTGGACTGATTATAGTTAATAAGGGCATGAGTTTTTAATAGGAGAAAGTCAACATTAATAGATCTTTAATCTTCGGTTTTCAATGAAGTTTTTAAAACAAAAAAAGCGAAATCGTGCCAATTACTTTTGATGGAAAAGGGTCACGCGGGAAATCAATGGAACATCAACAAGCCCATTCACTAGCGATCTTTTATCGCTTTTCCTTAATTAGTTCTTGAGCCTAGGGCTAGGCTCTTTCACTTTTCGCACGCTAACAAAAATCCCCTCAAAAAACACTGAGTATTCTATATATTCTGTGTAAATTTATCATCGAAGGATTTTATGCTCAAAGAATTCGAAATTGCAGATAAAAGGCTTGACCTTTTTTACGTACCTTGTAAGCTTGGCGAAAAGTGTTACTAGAATTCAGTCATCTGTTTGCGTTAAGGAAAGGCGAGTTTCCATCACTAAAACGAAATTACACATTATATGCTCAACTATATCTCAAAAGTAAGCCATTCTTAGGAAACTTTGGTGAGGAGTGGTTAAAATACCTTAAAGGATTAGCGAGAATTTCGAAATAGAAGCGCGCATGCTATGAGATTGATCTTCAACTGAGAAATAAAGGATTAGTTTTGAATTAMCGAGCTAAAGTGAGTACAGTCGATTGGCCGGACGGAAACATTAAGCGGATTAAACTTGATAGCTTTTTATGCGCAAATTAAAGACCAAGTCAAGTTATTAAAGATCGATGGTGATCTCGTTGACGAACAGAAAACAGGTTTATGTGGGTTAATTTACCTGCGCTTGAAATCAGCGAGGTTGGTATATCCGGTCCTTTTCTCTGACTAGTTTCATTCATATGAGATACATTTGCTGCAAAGCGTCGTGTTTTGAACAAGCTTCATACGCAAACCAGCATAAAGCAAGAGCCCTGATCTCTGATATGATCTCGAGCATCATGGCGTGTCCAATCAAATCCCTGCAAATCCACCAATCTCGAGCCTCGTGGATTGAGTGTCAGCGGAGACATCTGAAGGACTAAATCTCTAACTTTTCACCAGACTGGAACCATTTTCATTGAATTATTAATAGAGGAAATTTGCAGTTGAATTTTTGGTTTCCACCGGGTGCTCTTTAAGATTTGTTAACTGCATTTCTGACATCTATTGATTCTAAACTTTGATAGTTGACTGATTTGTAACGCGTATATTTCATATGCATATCCTCACATGCGTGCTTTCTAGATCGAATTAGAATTTAGAAGTCGATTTTCTGGTGGAGTGAGGAAAACCAGAGAACCCGAAGAAAAATCCTCGAAGCACAGAAAAGAGCCAAAGCACAAAAAAGAGCACGCTGATTCGTAGTATAACTACAGCCATCATATCAGTCGCCGACTGTTTGGTAATTCAGTAGCCATATCTCAAAAAGCGCCAACAATTATGATGATACAAAAATATAAGCTGAAAATATTTCAAAGCATAGCGCGGAAGCGGCATTGTTGTGCTTTCCAGGAGATGTGGCTCAAACAGATAGTCAATTTTTGTACATTCGAGATAAGAAATGATTAGCCGACCAACATTCTAGCCAAAATGACGTTCCTCAATGGGTGTTTCATAAAGTACGATCAATCCAAAGTCTGAGATGTTTTGTATCTCGCACATTCATGCGTCTACATAAAGAAATGAATCGTGCGCTTTTTTCGCCTCGACGCGTGCTCAAACAGTCCTAGTTTTCTTAAACTGCCTGAAGGACATTTCTCTTCGATCAAAGGTTTTAGATAAATATCGATTGACTTACGGTTACCTCAAATTTAAGAATTCCCCTGAAGCAATTCTTTCTCGGATCGCTCAACGAAAGAATGCGCACTCATTCAGAAAACCAAGTTGAAAGAATTCAAAGAGGATTCTAATATTAGTGGCAACAAGGCAATATAAGGGGCTGAATATCTATTTCCTTTAGCACTCCAACTGACAACCCTTTATAGTGGTTATAAGAGGCACTAAATAAACTAATGCTTAGCTGCGACCATGGTAGTACAATATTTGAAACTAGCCTAGTTTCAAATATTGTAACACTCTGGCTATTTTCAAAGAAAGTAATAATAGAATTCAAGCTGTTTTCGTTCACTTGCGTGCGAAAGACAACGAAAACTCTAGTTACGGGTGCTAACTCTAAATAAATTATATGTTCAAAGCAATTCCAAATCCATAACAATTATTTCTTAGCTTGGATCTCGTATGTTCTAGCAACATCTTATTGAGTTGTATAAATGGAGAATTACAGTTTCATGTTGATTATCTACAGCAGCTGGTTCTTATGTTTCTTAAGATATTAGGGACGAGGTTCACCTGATGAGTAGTGACCCTAGTATATGGGAGTCGTTAGTGGGTACCGAAAACTACCCCCTCCCACCCCTCCCCACCCAATTGCCTCCTTGAAACACTCGCTACTGGTAGTCGGTAGAGACTGGTTCTATAAATTCTATTTCTATTCAGAAATACGCATGCGCATACCTTGATACAGACATTCCATTCATTGCTTCAAATCGACTCGTAATGGTTAAGATATTTGAGTTTACAATCAAGAATGACTCAGTTGTTGGGTGGTGATTACCGGCTATCCCACCCCTCCCCCCTTAATTAGGTTCAAGCAGATGAAACGAATTGTTTTGACCTCATCCCTAGCAATGATTCAGTCAGTCCTGTTATCAAATGATTGCATGCTCATTAGCCTAACACATGTAACGGTTTAACCTGGAGATTTGTCGGGGTCAGTACTGCATCACTGGATTTAGATTTAATCGGTACCGCGGGTTAACTGTTGACGGTTTGTCGTTCGAACTAGCTGCTGTTTAATTAGAGATTGCAAACAAAAGGTTAAAATAAAAATGGAATTTCAAGTAAATATTCTACCTCTGTGCCAAAGATTATATTCCACTAAGTGCAATGTTCATCACACACACGTGCACGCTCAGGGGAGGGGGAAGGAGTTGCAATTCCCTATAAGAATAACACTATAACAACATTATAACACTTTATAAAATAACTAAGACATAACGCGCGCTCTGATTGGTCAATTACCGTTTTATATAACTGAACATAGATCGTGAGGAAATGACGTCAGCAACGCCAGTTAATCGTTAGTTGTATTTTAGTTATTTTATCAAAGAGATAGAAAACTGCCCTTGCTTATGCTATGTTGAGTTATACAAGCACTTGGGAAATTGCGTAAGCCCTTGTGAAGTGCCGAGAAGCACTCGCCTAAGGCTCGTGCTTCTCCTAGCACTTCTCGGACTCACGCAATTTCCCGCGTGCTTGTGTAACTCAACATAGCAAGCGCGCTCGTTTTCTATCTCTTCAATATAGTTTGCGCGTTTTGTCGCGCGCTCGTTTTAACGTAGACTTCGTTAGACAATTTACAAATTTGCAATAAAATTGTTTTTAGGTGATAGCACATGACGGGCAGTGATTTCAAGCCAAAGAAGATATCGAGATTTAAACATTTGATTGATACACTGAAGCGATTGGACAGTTTCCTTCTATGTCTTCTTTGAAAGTATTGATTCCTTCATGGCCGCCTCGTGAGAAGCCAATTCAGAAGATGCTATGGTTTTGAGTGTTCTGTTTAGTTCTTCCACCACGCTTGCTTCGTGTTCCGTGCCTTAACTGTGAGTACCGCACATATATCAACCACTTGTAATCAAAGCATAACCTGTCTGCTTTATGCTACTACTGACATGCACTAGTCAACCTTGAATTAACCGACATTTTACTGAGTGTTTTTACTCCGCCAAAGATGTATTATTTAGTGACTAACAGTCTAAGTAAAACATAAGAAAACATTGGAATTTGTGTCTCTATGTATTAAGTTGAATATTCTTTCACGGACGAAGAAAAACCTCATTCTAGGAACTCGACGTCCTTAATCCGTGAAACAGACGTAAAGTCTAACAGATTGCCATGTTGTTGCCAGAAACTCCCCATTAAAGCCTTTATTTTAAGACTGGGCGGTAAACTCCTACGCCGACCCTCAGTACATACGATGCCGCGTAGCCCAACCAACTGGGACGTTCGTCGTGATCAGATGAAATAAAAGTAAGTATCTCCACAAATCAAAAACTTTTCCCATTAGCAGCAATATTGAGTGGAGTATTGATACAGCGAATGGAAAAAGTGATTTATGATATTCAAATGTCATTTCAAATCAAGTTGATTGAAGAACTTTATTTGAAAGAACGTTATGATCCAGTCATCTTATTGGAATGGTCAATACCGTATGATTAATTTAAAATCTATATTACTTTGAAGGTTTTTAAATGAAATACTCGCATTCTGAATAAGTAAGGATGGAACTTGGTCTCTTTCTATAGTGCGTTAGTTTCGACTTGGATTTACAATAACGAAAAATGAAAGTTTAGCTAAACAAAAAAAAAATTAAATTTGAGGGGGAAAGAAAGAAAACAAAAATATGCGGGCAAATTTCAAGTTAACGCGTACGTTCGTCGCATTTTTATTTATGTATAAATTACAGGTTTCGCTGAATCCATAAACTAATTACGATTTTGAGACGACAATACCAGGAAATATTGACGGCTAGCTGGGAGATAATAATAATAATAATAATAATAATAATAATAATAATAATAATAATAATACGAATATTTATGCTAGGATAAAGACCCTTCAACAATAATGCTGTTATCAATGGGGGTCCTGCTNTTACGATTTTGAGACGACAATACCAGGAAATATTGACGGCTAGCTGGGAGATAATAATAATAATAATAATAATAATAATAATAATAATTTAATAAATTTCTATAGCGTTATATATTACACTCCATAACGCTTTACAATGAACTTTCAAACATAAAATATAGAAATATAAAAAGATTAACACATAAAAAAGGAAAAAAACTGACCAATTTTCTTTGATTAAAAGCGAAATTCTCATTACGAGCCGCGCTATGGCGAAAGCAACAAGCGTAAAAATTTGACGCACGCTCGCTCAAGCTTCACTTTTCGTCGCGCGTTAGCCAATTAGAAACCTTAATCTTGAAACGACAATACCACAAAATATTGTCGTCTCAAAAATACAAGAAACTATTAAGTGAATCGCGATACACTAAAGTATCGCGATACTAGGCAATAAAACGTTGTGAATCAAAAATAAATGGGATATCTTGAACCAAATTTTATATTTACAAAAAACAAAACGAAATCTGTCGATTTGATGCGGTCGATTTGATGTAATAATTTGACCGCGGCTTAAAACATGAAAATTCCGCCAAATGTTTTGACTATCGATATCCCCACTGCAGAGCGTAGGTGTTTTCGTTGACAAGTATTTAAATACTGTATATGTATATAACGATGGTAAGATAACGAGTTTTGTCGAGTCCAGACAATACAGCACAGCAGTCCTTAATTTCTTGATTCAAAAAAGGGCTAGAATACGGTGAAATGTTTTGCCAATGTATTGCCAACGGAGGGAGAGTCTTACATCATAAGAACTGTTGTTGAAACTCGAATACAGAAACAAAATTTCTTTGATTGACCTAAAAAAATTACCAAGAACTTCTTCTTCATATCCGTTAAACATTAATGTAAACAGTACAAATGAAAATCTACGTGTATCCTTTAGCATGCTGTATAAACATTTTAACGCTAATTTAGGATGCGGTTTTCAAGAATTACCGGCATAGCTTCCTCGGTTAGTTTAGAGATCAAATAATTCTTTCATTTTGCAGCGCTTTTTAGAGAAATTAAAGTAAAACGGTGGGTGTCATCACAGTTGAAGTAAAATTGAATACTGGAAGTAATTTCTATTCTGTTAGCTGTCAGCTCTATTGTTTAAAACAATGTGGTAACAGACCATAATTAACAGAAGTTCCCACCCTACTTATTCATCTAAATATACCATATTGAATAGAATAAGTCTAAATACTTGGGTTAATTTGAAAGAACGAGTAGTTTATGGTTAGTTACCTTACGTGAAAACAGCCAAGAATCGCGGCACCGCCTTCGTGTCTTCGGTGAATAATAATCATTCACATCTTCTTGACATATGAAACTTACGCTTAACAAAAGGTCAACAAAAGGAAACTGACGCTCACGCCCCCTCCTAAATCACGGTCAAACACGCAATTTTGAACATTTTTTTGTACATTTTGTTGGATATATTCATCTCTTCTAACAATATGAAAAAGGTAGCAACGGAAAA